GCATCGTCTTGTGAGGCGAGATCAACTGTGAATAAATCCTCATATCGTTGATACCATGTGTCAAAAGTGACATTCGCATCTGGATCATAATTTAACTGTGAAATACTATTCACAATGCCGTCGACAGATGGTAGCATGGTATGATTCGGATTGCTTGAAGGTGAAGTTGGACCAGTCTGTTGGTTGACGAACATTTCCATTAATTTCATTTGTCGTTCAAATAGTAATTCCAATTTAGAAAAGTCCATAGTTTTCCCCGTCGCCAAATTATTGTTATGTACTGGTCGAGAATTTAATAGTCCTGACGCAAGAAAGACGGAAATCAGAAGACCACTAGGTTTGCGATGATACTTCTATTTTCCAAAACACCAGGAGAATCACTGTGTCACACAAGAGTGTGAGAGCAAAAATATAAGAATGTCCGAACAAGTGTGAGCGAATATTCAAAATGAACAAATCAATAGACAGTCTTAACATGATTGGCTAATTATAATGGAATATCGATCCATATATACATAGCAAAATATATCAGACTGTCAAACAAAACACACATATTATAAGGATATATATATCAGTCGATCATGAGGCTGGCGACCTAACCTCGTGAAAATATAAAACACCATATCTGGTGAAACTACAGAACTCACAGCTTCAAACTCCATATGTTCAAGTTTGTACTCAGAAGAGTGGCAAATATACCGTGCAATAAATAAGAGTTAAATTGATACTTCATCATAGAATGGTGGGATCAGCAGTGTGTGACGTTAGTCACCAAGGTGTGATTTCTCATATTGACAGGCTATGAGAAGGGCTGATGATACCATCTAGATTTCGAAGTTTAATTAGATGGAATGGAATTCAAAATTGGTACCCACTGGTTAGCATCAGAATATTAAGCCAATAGGCCACATCCCTACACCAGTGGCAACCATTCGCCTTTTTCTTGAGGCGCCTTTAATTAGCAGAAACGAAGTACAGCACATTCGGTGGAGAACTTCTGGATATGTACTTTGCTATACGTCATTTTCGACATTCAGTGGAGGGTCGTGAATTTATAATTTTCACTGACCACAAACCTCTGACGTACTCTCTGAACTGGACTTCAGATAAGTATTCACCTAGAGAATCGATACAACTGGACTACGATTCACAGTTTACTTCGGATATTCGCCATGTATCCGGAGTGAACAACACTGTGGCAGATGCCTTGTTGGGAATTAGTACCCTCACTCAAATAGATGGCATAGACCTTGTGAAACTGGCTCGTCTTCAAAAAGAAGATACTGAGCTTCTACATGAGTTGTCGAAAACAACTCTGCAATTCGCCGAGAAACCTTAGGTATGTGAAGAGATACTATTCTATGTGACATTTCCACGAGATCTCCTCGTCCCATCGTGCCTAAAAGCTGTCGCCGTAACGTCTTCAATAAGTTGCATAGCTTATCCCACTGAGGTATTCGAACTACCTTCAAGCTCGTAACTAGTCGGTTTTGTTAGTTAGCCTGTCAAAAGTGAAAGGTAGCAAGACACACCAAAATCCCTCTTGGCACCTTTCTTATCCCTGACGCTCGTTTCGAACACGTCCATATAGATCTGGTTGGACCCGTTCCGGAATCCCATGGATATACTTATATTTTAACCTGCATCGACCATTTCACACAATGGCCTGAAGCAGTACCCCTCAAGGATGTATTAGCTGAGACAGTTGCACGCGTCTTTCTCGTAAGATGGTTCGCAAACTTTGGATGCCCATCCTCCATAACAACTGATCGTTGGCGGCAATTCGAAAGTGGCTTATTCTTCGCCCTGACTAAAATCGTAGGCTGTATGCTCTTTAAAACAACAGCCTACCATTCTCAGGCTAATGGTATGGTAGAGTGTCTACACAGACAGTTGAAGGCTGGGTTATCAACTGTAAACAATGCACATTTGGGGTGAATCACTTGCATTCGTTCTCCTAGGCATAAAAACGCCTTGAAAACCGATGCTGGTTGTACTACCGCCGAGTTAGTATATGCACAACACCGCGACTGCCAAGTGAGTTTGTTTTTCCCTCTACCTCCCCATCAGCGGTAGATCACATTGGGTTCACTAGTTTAGAGGCTGACGATATTGACGTTCACGGATAGTACGAAGTAGACTAACGCAAGATCTAATACCTACAACTTCTATAGTATTCGTTCCGCGTAGACCAAAGACAAAGCAAAAGAAAATATTTTGATCGTCCAAATTACGAGATATATTTCGGGGCCGAATCGGAGTGCAAGATGATGGGATTTCTTAGCTGACTAGGGATCGTACACGAACTAACGAACGAACGAACGAACGTGACACAACGGATTACCAAATGGCTTGGATGATTGACTGGAAGCCTTCAGCTAAACAAGTCGACTTAAACAGAGATGGTCAGCATCCAATGTTCGCTGATGAGTGTTGTGGTCAATAATTTTTGGAAATTATTTACCGCTACATGAGTGATCTTCACGAAGACAGTTTACCGCGAAAAGAAGACCTATGCAATATTTCAGGTATGACATTACATGTAGTTACATACACCCACATAATATGACAGAAGAAAGCAACAGCCCCTTTTCCAAGTCCAATGTACTAGGATAGCAAATGCAACTGATGACAGACAGGATGTCAATTCCTTGACTGTTGGAGATATGGCTTGTTGACGAGTGCAAGTTGACACGAAACCTAGTTGCAAGAATTCATGCCTACTGCCCACATATTGTTTATACCTTACAGTAACTTTAAAGAAATCGTAAAATGCGCTACAATTGAACTTTGAAAAAACCTATCGTTTTGAATTTCACTACAAAAGTACATTTGTGAAGAATAGCTCTAAGTATGAGTACATTCCAACCGTAATCATACATTTTTGCTCAAAAAATAAAAATTTTCCAATACTATACTGTCCATTTAGATTATTATTTGTTCAATCTCTATACTACTGTAAACACTATTCAATGGTTTCAATAAATTGTACTTGATTATTTTTCGCTTTTGTTTAACTGAATCAAATTGATTTTTTGGAATGTGTGTGTGTACATGGATAATTTCAAAAATGGCCATGATAAGAAAAATTTGCTTTGCATGCATAGTTAATTTTGCATACTAATTATTTCTGTGTGTGTGTGTTAATTTACAAAGTGAAATTTAAGTTTGGACATTTCAAAATTCACTTCAGGTAGAAAAAAATTCAAATTTACGCTCACTAAAACTTTAAACAATAAAAGAATAACTATATATATATATATATATATATATATATATATATATATATATATATCCTCTTTTAACACTGAGTAAAGGAATAATTTGTATATTTTATGGTTTACTGAACACACATGCTCAATTTTAAAACAAGTACACGAATAAAGTACATTTCGAATGGACAGAACTATCGATGTGAAGACTTGAAAGATTCTTGTATGCATTTTCTCTCTCCTTGAAAACCTTATGCAACATGCCTCATTTAGGATTAACTAAAAGAGGCATGGGGTGAGTGAGTAGATAGGTAAGCAGATAGCTTGAACATTTAGTTAGTTAGTTAGTTAGTTAGTCAGTCACAGGTTAGTTAGTTAGTTAGTTAGTCAGTCACAGGTTAGTTAGTTAGTTAGTTAGTCAGTCACAGGTTAGTTAGTTAGTCAGTCACAGGTTAGTTAGTTAGTTAGTTAGTTAGTCAGTCACAGGTTAGTTAGTTAGTTAGTTAGTTAGTTAGTTAGTTAGTTAGTTAGTTAGTTAGTTAGTTAGTTAGTTAGTTAGTTAGTTAGTTAGTTAGTTAGTTAGTTAGTTAGTTAGTCAGTCACAGGTTAGTTAGTTAGTTAGTTAGTCAGTCACAGGTTAGTTAGTTAGTTAGTTAGTCAGTCACGTTAGTTAGTTAGTTAGTTAGTTAGTTAGTTAGTTAGTTAGTTAGTTAGTTAGTTAGTTAGTTAGTTAGTTAGTTAGTTAGTTAGTTAGTTAGTTAGTTAGTTAGTTAGTTAGTTAGTTAGTTAGTTAGTTAGTTAGTTAGTTAGTTAGTTAGTTAGTTAGTTAGTTAGTTAGTTAGTTAGTTAGTTAGTTAGTTAGTTAGTTAGTTAGTTAGTTAGTTAGTTAGTTAGTTAGTTAGTTAGTTAGTTAGTTAGTTAGTTAGTCAGTCAGTCAGTCAGTTAGTTAGTTAGTTAGTTAGTTAGTTAGTTAGTTAGTTAGTTAGTTAGTCAGTCACAGGTTAGTTAGTTAGTTAGTTAGTCAGTCACAGGTTAGTTAGTTAGTTAGTTAGTCAGTCACAGTTAGTTAGTTAGTCAGTCACAGGTTAGTTAGTTAGTTAGTTAGTTAGTTAGTTAGTTAGTTAGTTAGTTAGTTAGTTAGTTAGTTAGTTAGTTAGTCAGTCAGTCAGTCAGTCAGTTAGTTAGTTAGTTAGTTAGTTAGTTAGTTAGTTAGTTAGTTAGTTAGTTAGTCAGTCACAGGTTAGTTAGTTAGTTAGTTAGTTAGTCAGTCACAGGTTAGTTAGTTAGTTAGTTAGTCAGTCACAGGTTAGTTAGTTAGTTAGTTAGTTAGTTAGCTTCATCCTGTATGGACGGGTGTAGTCACACCTCCTAGGGAATCCAATATACCGCTGGTATATGTACGAACCAGAAATCTTACTTTAGTAATTAAGATATTGATTAAAGGATGAATAAATATGTAATGCAGGAGGAAATTATAAGAGTACCATTTAGTCCTACTTGTTTTACCATATATTTTGACGATATGAAGAGTCCTAAACTGGGACGAAACATCTGTCTAGTACTATGTGGTTTCCAATATGGGTCTCTAATTGATATCACTTCATGATCAAAGTTAAAACTAACCGAATTCCTGGAAACTAACACTTAGACACTAAAAAAATACACTCACAGTAATGAAGACAGAGACACACACGTCTTTGTTCTTAGTTAACTGTCGTTTTCATACAAGCGGCATTTTTGAATTTATCAATATTTTATCAAAAGCATTTAAAACAATCATAAACTTACAATTAACTTTACAATTGAACGTCCTGGTGTTGGTCGTGTTGTAGCAAATCCATACATTAAAAGGAAAATGATATTAATGATAGCAGAGACTGCCCCAATTGTTATTAAATACTGGAATCCAACTTCATTGTAACCTCTACCAGCTAGAGCAATACAGATGATACCGATGATCTATGCGTGATATAAAGAGAAAGAAAACCACCAAAATAAAAATGAAGCAGAACTAATTTAAACCATTTTTTGTAGGAGTTTAGTGATCAATAGAAACAGCTATTACTGTTGCCGTTGGTGTTGTTTTAATGAGTTAATTAGCCAACAACATGCATATTTAATGTGTCATTTCAAACCTGCTACGGTGTGATTAGCACGCTAGAAGTAAGAAAATCTGCTTGACTTTTGTTTGGCTTTCCAAATACATGTCATGCAGAGGAAGCATATGCTCTTCCTTGAAACTTTTCATTTTTCCTAAGCACTGTGAGATTAAACCTTCCAATAAATTGGCTGGTAGTGTGCTCCAGAAAACTCTGAACCATAATAGTGGTAATACTACTGGTGATATTTGTATATCGACTCAAAATGGAAAGGTGACCAGAGTCGATTAGACAATGCAACGACTTATACACTGGATAGTCTAGAAGTAGGCGCATCTGTAGCTCTGATACCGTGGAAGAAGAACTACACTTCTTGAAAGAAATCTACATACAAAACGGATTTCCACAAAGATTCATAGACAAAAACATCAAACAGAAAATCCAAGAGCAAGGGACTCCATCCGTGTCAAAAAATTAACTTTATATAAACCTTGACTTCAAAGGTGACCTACTCAGCGATGTCCTTAAGAGGAGAATCTCCACTTCTTTAAGAAGAACTTCCTACGTAGCAACACTGAGAGTAGTGTTTTCCAATTACCCGCTGATCTGCAGAAGCCTTTAGGAAAAGATCCCACACCTGACCACTTCTATGTGTATATATCAGTTCACTTGTTTCTGTGAAGCCAGGTACATAGGTCTTGCGACGCACATCCTGTCATAAAGGGTCAAAGAACACTATCCAGCGTGGTTGCAGGAAAGAAAGTAGTGGCCATATAAGCAGTGCAATAATCGAACATCTCGTCAGCACTCGTCATTGCATCTCAACAAACACCTCCTTCAAAGTTATCTAAAGACAATACGTTTCCGTCTTCTTTGCGTTGCAGAATCCCTAGACATTCAGTTGGAAGAATCAGAACTATGCATACAAAAGAGGAAAATTATTCAACCACTTCTACTATCATGGTAACATTTCTGTTGATTTTACTTAACTTAACTCTCTTGCGTAATTCAGTATGTTATTTAGTTTCTGTGTACACCTTGAGCACAACTCTTCAATCAAATTATTGATGTTATTACGTAACTCTTCTCTAACAGTCGGTTGTGACAATTCATCGCTTTTATTGCCACCGTCTTGTATTAACATACAATTAACCTGAAATTACTTATTGTATTTTCGTTGGTCAAATTTAATGTACACACACACATACAAAATAGCCATATATATATATATATATATATAATTGCGATTGTACAGTTGTGAAAATGAATTCTCTGGCGTAAAGAGACTCTTCGATAAACTACTGGTCTTCTATCTATTATTGTTCAGATGGGGATTTTTGATGAATTAAAGTCTAGAAATGGCCACTAAATGGCCCTCAATCTTTCCAAATAAGAAATCTGTCCAATCAACCTGACAGTGAGGCCTGGTAAACAATTGGTTATTGAAATCCAGCAGTTGAAGAGGCCGGTTTTACTAAAGTACTGCCTAGAGCAGGCGTAACACTTGTAACCTGCCACGTTAATCACGGTATACAGAATAAAATACTCACTGAGACGATTCTGTCCTCTTTCACATTCCCCCTAACTGAATAAACCAGTTTACATGGATGTGGAAGAGCACATTCACTGAACGAACAGAATAAAAATGATTTGCATATTCCAAGAAAAGTGAGTCTAAAAGGTTTTAGAAATCCTTAGTAGAATCATTGAACGCCACACTTATTCGACAGCAGTCATGAAATTGGCGTATTCTTTAAGGTAATTAAAGCTCGAGGATAATTCCAAATGGCTAGTTATTACTGAAAGACTAGCCGATTAACATCAAATTTATACGTCTATTGGGAAGCCGTTGCTAAGCCTGCTTTCACTCGATAAATATGCTTTACGCTACTTCTATTATTTTTTTTTGTTATTTTAACTAAATTTTGTTCAAGCAATGCAATTTCCCATCTCCGATTTTGCCTATTTTACTTAAATTCTTGACTGGATCCCTTTCTGAACTCTGTTGAATGAAATTATGTAACTCTTACATAAACATATTGTTAAATTTACGCCTCTGTTCAATTTGTAATATTCGTTCAAAGTTCTAAAGTATTTCTTAATTATATACACATAAAGATATATACGTGATTGAACACTAGTCAGTGACTAGTGTAATGTGTGTGTGTGTGTCTAGTTCTATCTTTAGTGCAGACTGACTTCTATCAGTCAATCAAGTCTGCAATATGGCCACTCTGGCAATACCAGGTGGCCTGCCCTCACGGTGCACTATGAATTATCAGTATAAATGCAACAGACAACGGGTAACGAGGAAACAGGCATAAAATGGACCACCCACACAAAAACAACTTGGAGGATCTGTACTTCGCCGATGTGATACATATGTCTGATTTCACACAAACTGGAAGATATGCAAATGATGAAAAGCAACAAGTTGGTAGAAGAAGCATCAAAGACTTCAGGTGAACATAGAGAAAACAGAGGTGATGGAGATTCCTGGCCAACACCAAAAGCCACAGCAACAACAACAGACAACAATCAGCCAGCATAAATGGGAGGAACCTGAAAGAAACAACCTCCTTCACCTACCTACCCCGGTAGCATCGTTTCAACTACAGGCCGGCGGAACTGACGAGGACATCAAAGCCAGAATCGGAAAAGCAAGACAAACTTTCATTACTCTCAAGTCTGTGTGGAGGTCGACAGCACTTAGCATCAATAGTAAGATCCGGATTTTCAACTCCAATGTGAAGTCAGTGCTACTCAATATATGGATCAGAGACTTGACGCGTCATAAAGAGCATCTCAAACAAACTACAGACCTTCATCAACAGCTAGCTGTCTTCGCTCAGTACTCAAGATCAGATGTCCAGCCAGAAAAGATTGGCGACAGGAATCTCTGGAAATAAACGAACCAACGCACCAGGAACCGATTGTGAAACAATTAGCAGGAAGAAATGGAGATGGATTGGCCATAGGCTGAGAAAACAAACCATCAAGTGACATCACTAGACAAACCCTCGAGTGAAACCCGACAGAATGGGAAGCGGCGAGTTGATTGTCCCACGGTGGGATGACTTGGGGGAGGTGATGTGAAGAGGAGATGAAGGCATATGGGCAGATTTGGAGCGGGTGAAAAAGTTGGCAGAAAACCGAAGGCAATGAAGATGCGCAGCTGAAGCCCTATGCTCCTCTAGGAATTAAAGGATATAATAATAATAATGAATGGAGGCAGTCGGCAGTAAGCAACACTGGGCGATGAGGGTTTGAATCTCAGAAGCAACATGAGTTCCTTCAAGGTAATTGAAGATACACCTTATTTACTGGTGAGTGTCAACTAGCACGAAACATAGGTCAAGCAAGGCTTCCTGCCGATTGCCTCTAGTGCGTCGGTGGCACAGTGGTTAGGACTCTCGCCGACCATGCACATGGTCCGAGGTTCGATCCCCTGCGACGACGCACACCTGATATCTATGGTCGGCTTGCAAATCTGGGCTACCGATATCCACGCTGAAAATTCCATACTTGTACCAAAAATACGGTGTGGAATCAAGCTGTAATCAAAAATAAATAAAAATAAAATAAATAAATATTATATATATATATATATATATATATTACTGAAGAGCTTAACAATAACTATCTTTATTCCTTTCCAATATACTGCTATTTAGTCACACGGATATGAATATCCTTCACTTTTGTGATCAATAATATCTACAGTAATTCAATATTTTTTATACTGAGATAAAATTGTTCATGACTGTACTCCTCTAACAAGAATCAACAAAATATAGTGGCTTGATATTGTTCTGGTTAGTATGTTCTACTAACTTTGTTCAGATTTATCGGTAGAGATAGTTGAATAGGTTTTATATCAGTTATTCCTTATTCTCCTTCTGAATCGGGATCATCAGTCCACTCCGTAATCCTTTAAGGCTGTGAGTGAGACGTGGCCATTGAAAGTGGAAGACATGAAAAGGCCTGCTAGCTAGCTAGCTGTCTTTGATCATAGACTTCTGTGTTCTATCTCTCATGTTACGTGGTTGTATCATCAGGTGAGCAGTATTGAGTTGGTTAGGCGAGAAGAAATCAATCGATGACGTTGTGAAGTAGCTGCACCGATTGATACAGATGGTTAGGATATGTGTTATGCATCCATGCATTCCTAACCAACCATCGCTTTCCTCGACGATGGGCAGTTTTAGTCACTGACATAGGATGGATAGATCAAGTTGATAAAGGGCTAGAACATGGTGGTCACAAGAAAACAGTGAAATCCACAACTGTTAGTTAAGGCCAGCTAGCAAGCCGGAGACTTAGGGAGATATAGACTTCCTGATTGACTGGTTGGGGTCTTCGGGATGATAAATAACAGTAGCTGGAGACAATTAGTGATATAGCTCAAAATCGTTTTAATTGACGGTGCAGATGCATTCACACTTTATGATTTATCACACTCAATAAAGCTCTATTGTTCTTCCATATTACTAGTATAATTTTTCCCTCATATTTCTGTTTGCTATGTCCCTCCTATGAATCTCTCTTTACTGTCTTCGCTTGTTTTGTATGCTAAGTGAAGTGTGGCCACCTGTGAAAAGTTCTACGTTGAAACCAGTCAGCCAGTCAGTCTCCTTCGTAATATTCTCTAGTTTACCCGTTTGTCTTCACATTTGCAGCTCACCAGATGAGAATAAGCAGTTTTCTCACTTTTCGGCTTTTTTTATGAATTTTTATGGGTAGCATTCCAAAATTTCAACTTTTCATTGCTGACATATCATCGAGAGGAACTGTTCAAAACTAAGAAGTACTTTAAAAAAATGGAGACTTGACGCAGTGATTTAGGCATTCGACTTTCAA